GCCGAGGAGGGGGAGCCGGCTATGAAGGGAGGAGGGCGGTGGGGAGAAGGCTGCGGAGGAAGGGCTGTGGAAAACAGCCCACGCGGGCAGGAAGGCCTGGGAGCAGGCGCAGGGGTGAATCTTGGTTGGAAATACAGCTCTGATGTGTGGGGTCAGCGGGCACTAAGGAGGGGCTGAGGTGGGTGTCGCAGCGATAGGGAAGGAGCCGCGGGCTGGGTGGGAAGTGGGGGAGCGACGGGGACATAACGGGGCACAGCAGAGCGGGGGGCTGAGGACCTGCGGTGTCGGAGGCTTCCCAGGAGGTCTGATATGCCTGTGGGGGTCACTGGGGAGTCAGAGAGGATGAATTGGGAGTGAAGGGGTTGGAATGGTTTTTCCCTATTCCCTGGAAGATTGCGCTGCTTGCCTCTGAAGAAGGATTTGGAGGGAGTTAGATGGCTGAGGCTTGTAACGTGACTGAAGGCAAGAGCTGGTCGGTGTTCTAAGGAAATACAACGTAAGGGGACCAGATATCTCTGGGTTATGTTGAACCTAAGGCATTGCCTCAAATTGCTTGATATTTGTTGTGCAGTTGTGGGAAGTACTCCTCACTGTGCCTTTGTGTAAGGAGGTTAACGTTGTTTTTCAGAGGATTGTGACTTTCCCTTTTTGAAGTCACGCTGAGGCTTCTGAAGGGAATGGGAAGTGGCAGAGATCAAGTTAGCCTGTTGTTGCACTGTTTTCTTAAATACTTGACTATGTTTCTTTCCATGAAGCCTGAAAATAAATTTTAAAAATCTGCCGTAGACCTGAGTTTCGCATGTTCTATGTTCTTTCCTGCAAAACAATACCCTGGAAAGGATATGAATACGGGGATAATAATTAGCATTTACAATTTGATGCTTCATAGGTGTGTTTTAATATGTAACTACAAAGGAGCTTTCTTACTGCTTTTATTACCTATCTAGCATTATAAGGAGGGGACTTTGTGATCAGGGTATGCAGTAATATGGTTTGTTAATCCTTGGAAAGGTATTTTTTTCTTCTTCTTCTTCCTTTCCTCCCTTTTCCTCCTTTGCCTATGTAAATATTGATGGGAAAAATGCTTCTCGTGTGGCATAAATGACCAAGAAGACTGGGAACATCTCAGCATCTGGACTGAGTGATGACACAACCCCACTGTCACTTTTCCTTTGGCTTGTCCGTTGTGGATTTCTGTCTCTGAGCAAAGGGTTTGGGCAAGGAACAGGGGTCTGCATTAGGTAAGACACCCAGAAAGGAAGCCAGGCAGAGGAGAAGCTGTGTGATAAAGATCCCGTGTTCCGTTCTTGATGGGGTTGGGAAAATAAAAAAGCTCAAGCTGCTACTGTCTTACAGGCGAATCTCAAGTAAAATTATTTCAAAATTTTGAAAAACTATTGCCAGGAGTCAAATGGTGACATTATCTTCCTGCTTATTCCCTATTTCCATCTGTTGCCTTGGCTGTTTTAGATTGGGTCCAGATCCTGCGGCTCGTCTCCAAGTAGGCTGACTTCTGCAGCCGAGAAGAGGCAGGTTTATGATTTGGGCTCTCAACTGCGAGTTTCTGGGTTAAAAAAAATGCATCTGTGGCACCCAGCCCTGTGGGACTTCAGTCCTGGCTGAGTTTGCGCGGGAAGTTTGCCATAGACATTACCAGATCAGTGTAGCTGACTGAGATTAGATCTTGACAGAGCTCTCTGTGGTTTTGTGGATGTACATATATCCCTCTAAAGAATGATTTATGCACAGGGGCTGTTCACGCACCCAGGGATTACACAAAGTGACAGGCTACAAATACTCGGAGTAACTTGCTCTACCTCACATGCTCACAGCAAAGTGAGTCAGGAGGAAGGGAAACCTCCCGTTCTGGAGGTTGCACCATACTTTTCCATCATCCCTGTAAATCGGCATGTGAAGACGCAGGCATCCCTCGTCCAACCTTAGGATGTCCCCTGCAGTTCTGCTGTAGGAGCGGGCCTGGCTCACTCGGGGTTTCTGTGCTGAAACCTTGTAATCCTTTCCTGAAGATTACTTTTTCCCCGAGTATTGGACTCTTTCCAAATAAAACATCTCTTTTCATCCCTTTCTGCCCAGATCTACATGGAAGCCACGTTATTGAAGCCTGCTTAGTGTGTGTTGTCTGTCCTTCAGCCACACTGAGTGGAAAGGTGAAATTACCCCTGGAATGGGGTCGGCTCTGTGGGTACAGCTTCGCAGCCAAGAGCTTGTTTAGGGTCTGCTCAGGTTCCTGAATATTGCGTGACTTGTGTTCTGTGCAGTTGTCTCGCAGTGGAGATATACCATCGGCCTGAAATTCAGTGAGTCCCCCTCTGCTGCTGTTTAAATGTACAGTAGAAAAGGTGTTACAAAGGAAAACATAGGTTAATGCAGGAATTAGGTGTGATTACTGTTTCTGACTCATCCACCCGTTTACATTTCTTCAGATAGGCCACTACAGACAGCAAAAATACTGCACGTTTCTGAGACGATCCTCTCCGGCTAGCAGTCTGCATCCCGCCGGAGCAGCCCTCCCCGCCAGCCGCTTGCCGCCCGACTCCGCAAGGGCTCTGCCTTCTCCGGTGCCGCTGTCATAGAAACGCTGAAAATTCATCCCCGTGGTTCTGAAATATCCCCTTTCACAACGGCGCTGGCTCCTCCCTCCTCGAGCTTTTCCAAACACAGGCACTTTGTGAAGCTGGGTTACTTCAGAGTCACCAGAAGTCATTTTCTGGGATGTTCTCCGTGTTGCTATGGCAGCAGCAGAGTGCTTGGCACCCGTACCGATATCAACAGCAAAGCTTTAGTGCAAGGATCTGTTTTCAACAACATGTGTCACCTCCATGCTTGTTAAGTCAGTATTGATGGGAGAGAGAGCTACATCACGAGTTAGGACATAATTTAAGCCCTTTTGGGCTACTTCTGAGATATCCAGGGACTTTTACAAATAAAATTTCCTTTTTGTTTACTGCCTTTTTGCTTTTGAGAAGTTTTAGTCACTAGGATTCTTACTATTTTAGATGGGGTTTTTAATCTTGTAAATATTTAGTGATTTCTCCCCCCCAAAAACTTCTCAAAGTTTGTACTTCTCAACGGCAGAAGTACGTGTCAGAATGTTAAACCAAAGGGGAAGCAAAGATGCAGAAGATAAGGCCTATTTTTCAAAAACATGGTATCTGAATTTTTGGGTTTGTCAGTGCTTCTGTCATCAGTCAGACGCATTTGAGCCTGATTTTTTTTTTCTTTTTTTTTTTTCCTTCTCCCCCTCCTCCAAAATGCTGAGCGCATGTCTCCAAGTGAAACACAGGCGTAGCATATCTTTAAACTTGGACCCACAAAGCAGCTAGGAGCCATCAGTATCCACCTCTGGTCTGATTTACTTGCAGAAACAGCCCCCAGAAAAGGCAGCAGGAGAATCAGAAGTCTGCTTGACTCTTGAACTTAAGTTTAAATCATCAGCGGGCACTGCAGAAAGCACGATGCTGTGAGATTCCTGAGCTTGTTGATGAATCAGTGTCAGATGTCCAGGTCTCTCTTCCTGGTCTATCCATTATTACATGGGAATTAACAAAATAAATGTTTGTATGATCATTAAATTAGTCATAACCACAAGAATTTATTCAGTCGCCTAATGCAAAAATACAGCGAGCGGAGAAGTGTGTCTCCTCCCGTGGCGTAGTTGTAATGCAGCCCTTCGCGCTTCGATGTCTAAAAAGCCTTCGTTCTCTCGTCGTGCCTTAACGAGCTGCCTCATCGCTGCGGCTCCTACGTGATCATTTTGCTCCTGTATTCTTGTAGCTTTCGTCTCTCAGAGAAGCTTTAACCGAAGGCTAATCAGCGTAATTTTTAATTGTTAATTTGGCTCGCTCTCCAAAGCTGATGAGCTGACCTTGCCAAGGAATCGGTGGGGGATTGTTGGAGCGAAGCGGGCTAGCTCGGTGACCTGCCAGCACGCTGGCGTGGTGCCACCCTCGCTATTTATAGGCTTGTAAGAAGAGTCAAGCGCTGAGGAGAGCTCCTGATTTGAGTGCCAGATGACTCGCACGCTGACCTGAAGCAGAGTTACTGCCCGGGAGCTGCAGAAGTCTGATGAGCAGATCTCCAGTTTTCAAGTCATTCCCTGCTAGTTTCTTTTTCATCCGCTTAGTTAAAGCCACCTGCAACTTCTGCATTTCCCGATCAGTAAGTGCCGTAAAGGCTGTGTACTGTACTTCTACAGATTTGTGAGTGCTTCGATTTCTATCCTCTGCCCAGTGACATGTGAAACTCATTACTGCTGTTGCTGTGTCATTTCTCGCTGTGACTGTTTCTGCAGCGGATCTTGCTGGTGGATCTCGCCTGCAGTTCTGCCCTCAGCCCTGACCTGTGCAGTCTGGCACCGAGTTCTCTTTTATTGGGTTACAGCAAACGCAGAAAGGGTGTTACCAGCATTTACATAGTTCAGCTGCAAAGCTGGAGTCTTTAACGAGATGCTTTAAAATTCTCGAGGATCTCTCTTATCTGAAATGCGCGGTGATAAATTGGGTGTAACACAATTGAGCTGTCACCGGTATGCTGACAAAGCATGAATCTTCGAGCCTGTGCCAGACCCACCTCTTTCTCTACAAAACAACCCTTGGCTTGTCTTTCTAACAACAGCTCAAATCAGGGAGGCTAAACCAGAGCTCCAAGTCCTCTCAAACTTCTCCTGCTGCCCATTTTCTGCTTTTTGGTCACTGTGAACAGCATCTTAAGCTGACCGGTTGCTCAGGACTGTTAAATAAGCACTGTTACCCTGCATGCTAGGATATATACCCCAGTCTGTGTCTAACACCACACTTTGTATTGTTTCGTGTACGTAGGATATATTGTTTTCTAATATCTTCGTACAGCTAGAACCTTTGTCCAGACTGTCATTGTCTCACTCTTGATTATTGCTATATCCTTTCCTCTGCCCTTGAGGACAGCAATCTTGCCCTGCCCGTGTCTTGGCAGAATGCTGCTGCAAAGGTTGTTTCCCCAGCCACGGCTGTTAACGCTCTCTGTGCCATCCTCCAGTGGCTCTTCTTTCCATACCTCGTCGCGTCTACGCGTAGCTTCGTTTTTAAAGCCATTCTTAGTCTTTCCCCTCATGTCATTGCTGTGAAGTCTGCTTTTACCTCTCAGCAGCTCATGATGCCAGCCTTCCTCGCTCCTTCAGAATATTTGGTGGGTTTAGTGAGTTGTAACTGACTTTTTAGCAACATTTAAAAAATCAAAATAAAAAGTGACTGTCCTCCAAACAACAACTAGAAATATGCAAAGTCCCGAACTTTCTACATAGGACATTATTTTGGGCAATTTTTAAACTTGTATTTAGATGCCAAATTGAATATTAATGCTTTCCAGGCTTGGAGAGTAAGTATGTGATAACGTAATTTCAAGCAGCGTGGAATAGTCCTCTCCTGCCTGCTTTAGAGAAAACAGATGTTTGCACATCAGTAGTCCGTACAGTTACCAACTGGGTGGTGGGGCTGTTTGCTCACCGAGCTATCAACTCTCAAGTTAAAATCCAAGTAAAATATAAGCTATTTGTGACAAGTGATAAGCTATCTGTGACAAGTTCAGTGCAGTGGGCTATTGACAGTCAGATTTTAACGGGGTAGATGTACCTGCTTGTAGGGTATGTTAGGGAGAAACAAGGCACTTACTCTATGGAAGCAATGCTTGTAGATCTTTGTAGAAGTCATGGGGGAACAGAGTGATTGGCTTTACTGACTCTTGTCTCTTTTGCAGTTGGTGTATCCTTATGACTTCAGGCTAACAGAGAAAGAGGTAATAACTTTTTTTTTTTTTTTTTCTTTTTTTCTTGGTTTTAAAGACACTGAGCAGCGGTGATGGAGGTTTTCTTACTGTGTGGTTTTGTTTGTTGCAGAAAACTAGTATCTGCTACTTGTCCTTCCCAGACTCCTACTCAGGTAGGTAGCATCTGTTGGCCTTGCCTGCAGCCTGCGGGATGGTTCGTGGCCGTTATGAAAGAAACGGCTTCACGATGGAAAGACTGAGTCATTGCCTCTAATGCAGCAGAGACTGATGGGCTGTGTCTTCTAGAACTGTGACATCAAGGAGCACCCAGCCCTTAGGTCTGAACAAAGAGGCTTCTTGTCATTTTGATTGCTCTCTGGATATCGAGTCTGCGATCTAGTGGGTGACAGGACAATTTCTTGATAAGCTTCCATGCTCATGCTCCACCTGTGCCAATAAAATATAAAAAAAGTCACGAAGGGTGGGTTCCCTGAGGTTTGCAGCTGTCGACTGTCAGCATTTCTGTGCGTGTGAGTGAAGTGCTCGGTGAAGAGAAATAGATGGGGGGAGAGGATGCTTTCACAGCAGAACTATTCCCAAAGCTTGTCTTTATAAATCAGAAAGGTGGCAATAAGAAATAAGCATGTTAATTCAACCCAGTACCTGTTCCTGACTGTTAGTTTTCTACAGCTTTGCCCGGTTTAGTTTTAAATGTTTTTTATTATGTACTTTCACTAGTTTCTCAGAGCTTAGTGAATGCTCAGCCTAAATGTCCCTTTTATTAAAGTAAATTATTTACTAATAGTAATATCTTCATAACACACGCAACAGTCTTTACTCTTCTTCGGAGCATAGCATCTGCAAACAGCGGGCAGGACGTATGTCCTCTTGCCCCGTTGTAGCGCCTTAGTCTGTTTAGCCGTGGTTTTTGCTCAGTGAGCTTAGAGTGTTTAACTCTTTCCTCATAACTGACCTCTTTGTCCGTACCCGGCCCTAGTCCTTCTGCCCTTCCAACTGATGAAACCTCCTGAGGACTTCATGCTTCTTTTTTTCCTGCTGTACAAAGTATGCTGGGGGGTGGTGAGCAGTACAGTGTGACCTGGGAGGTGCCCGGCTGTGGTGCTTGTCTAGGTCCTTTGCTGGAACTGTTGTGCAGGGGATTGGTGTTAAAATCAGTGTTTGTGTGGTCTTGGATTAAGGCCGTTTGTAGGTTTTTCAGTAGGGTGGATGAGAAGAGGTGGCTGCAGCTACTCAGGATAGGTGATACTTGCCAGCGTCTTTGGGTTTCTCGGCAATGGCCTGGCAAGGTTTAGCTTAATGATATCAGTTCTTGTGTTCAGCTACATGTTCCTCCTGGCTTGCACTGGGTTTTGGGGGTTTCTTTATGCTGTTACTCTCCATTTTCAGTTTTGGGGTTCCCTGTAAATCAGCATCCCTGTTTTTGTCAGCATTTCTGATTTAAGCAATTTCCAGCTTTCTCTTTACTGTGACTTCTTCCCGAACGTTTGCGATCTTCTCTGTCTCAGGTGGCCTGGGGGATACTCAATTTAGCTTCCGCCTTCGTCAGTCTGGGGGACAGAGGACCACTCATTACGAGGACGATGGCGAGTACAATAGAGAAGCACCCCTAACGCTGCAGGTCAGTTGCATTTCACTGCACTACTTATACCTGCTAAGCAAACAGAGGTGTTACTGGGTTAAAAGCCACATATGCTTTTGATTTGTTTTCTATACATGAAATACTCATTTCCTGTGGCCATGGGAATAGTCAGGAAAGGAGAAAGCTTTCAGCACAGGGACTTATTTCCACGTCAATACTCATAGAGGGCTGTGTTGAGAATCCCAGCTACTCTGAGAGATGGAACTGAATTGGGGGACCCCAGATTAGAGCAATGGTCATGTTTGGCTACAGTGAAAAGAAAAAACGGTGGCACACAGGAAACATCCAAGAGAGCGCACACCTGTGTGCGTTGCCACAAGGCAAGACAAGAATATCCTTGTGTGTGGGAAATGAGATGTTTACCTCTCTTGTTGAGGGATGACAGTTCTTTTCATTTATCGCAGGATCTGTGTATATGAAAACATCCGGAATAATTGGCATGCCACAAATCCACAGTTTAGCTTCCTATATGCGGGCTGGTTTAACCATACCCAAGCACTAATATCAGGAGTGTCTGTTAGCTGTGGATTTTCCATCGGTGAACTGTCCTTCCATTTCATGCAGAGAAGGGATGTGCTGAGCACTGTCGCTTCTTTTAATTGAGCAGATGGCCATCAGATCAGCTTGTCCGCTTCTGCTTTCTCCTTTGAGATGATGCTTCCTGTGCGTGTGCCTTTTTAACACTTCTGCAATCTTTGTGATATGCTTTTGTGATACGCAATCCAGAAATGAATTGCTGGTCTGAGAGGGAGTAGAAGGATTTCTTTTCCTAAATTCCAGTCTAGAAATTTTTCAGCTCGCTTGCATCTTTACTGCTTTGTAGCAATCGGACCCTGCCTCGTAGATTCACCTAGCTTTAAAGAAGTAAGGGAAGTAAAACTGCCAAAGTACTGGATTCTGTTGTGGAAAAATAATATTTTATTATACAAGAGAAAGGTGCCTTAAACCTTGGGGCTTCAAAAATGATATTAAGGATGGTCTTTGTGTTCAGCGTTGATAACTATCCTTCCTCTTTGATGTCTGTGGGAACTTAGAAGGCACAGCATCTTTGAAATGATTGCTGGGGATTTGTGTTAAATCTGTTAGTGTTCATGGATGCCGTGAAGGAAACCTCATTCAGCTTTGTGCTTCATCCCGAGCAAAGTTTGACTGGTACTGCCTTAACTGCCTGACTAAAGAGGAATGCAAACGGGTATGGTAGAGGACATCTCCTCCTCTTGGAAGATGCTGTGTTCCTTCCTCAACAATACATTATCTCCTAGCTGGCAAAGAAAACTGGCAGTCAGAGCACATCAGTGGCAGCACTGGGGTGCCACAATGAGCTCAGTGGGTTGGCTCAGCTGGTCGTATTGGTGGAAACCTCCATTAACCTTTTAGATGATGGCCCTGAAGGTGCTGCAGAAAGGGACTAGCGACAGGGGCTACCCGGAGGCTGTAATTTTTTGTGCATTTAGTTGCTTGTATCTCCTCTCTGTCTTCCCATTTGGTAAACTCTCCCAGATAGCTGAGCATGGATAACTCTGGTAAATAGGAGGGAGTGCTGTAACTGTGTCGTAGCAGGAGTGAGGTGTGTTGTTTGGTCAGTGGCTGGAGGGAGTTTGGCAATGGCAGGAATCGGTTTCTCAATAACAGCACTGTCGGTCTCTCCTGCAGCGGGAGTCAGCTCATTACTTTGGTTATGTGTACTTCAGGCAAGTCAAGGACAGCTCGATGAAGAGAGGTTATTTTCAGAAGGTGAGTACTGAAACCAGATAGCTTGCTACTCTCAACTGGTACGTAGCTGTAAAAAGGCACCTATCCATCGCTGTAAAATAGCACCACTTCCTACGTGACACCCACAGTGTTTCTGCAGGAAACAGCAAAGGTCACGGAGAACGGGAATATGTGGAAAGCGTAATTCCAAACAAACCTGGATGCTGTTGCTATGGTGCGTTAATCACATGAGCAGTGACCTGCTGTCTGAATCATGAGATCCTGAAGTACTCGAACATTTGCTTCAGTATGTACTCTGTAGTGTTACAGATAGCGAGAGGATATACTTCGTTATTGCAGTCTGTGCTAGTTATACCTCAACCCTACTCTTGTTATTGCTTTAATCTTTCTTCTTCCTAGTAGCCTTCTGGGAATGGATTTCCTGCTGGGATGATTGCTTCTAACTAGCAGCAGTGACACTGCTGGTACCTCGCCAGCCTTGTCTCTTATCATAAATTCCTTTGACACAGACATTGGAAAAAATACAAACTGCATGTTTATTTCAGCATAAATATGCAAAGTGCTTTGTATTATTCAGACAGATAGTCATGGTCACTGCCTGAGAGTGAAATTTCAGACTTCTTCTAGAGAAGGAAAATATTTTACTTTGATCCAAAGATCCATTTTTCTCCATGGATCCGTGGAATTAGTCTTTCACTAGTGTTTTTCCACATCAAAAGATAAAGTGCCATCCTCTCAAACAAGTGAACTTTGAATACCTGCTCTTCAAAGAGCAATGCTTCATAGATGGTCAGCCTGGTAACTTGCTGGAAGGTGGGGACACCATTCTGAGGCCGCAGCTGCTTGGCCTGCTGTGCTTTCGCTCCTCCACCTCGAGGCAGTGACATGAAGTTTCTTTCAAAGAGACATGCTAATACAGAAATTGGTTTCTTCATCTCCACTAAAGCAGTGGATTGATCACTCAAAAAGTTGGAGGATTAGAGTAACTGGACAACATGGGGACCTGCTGACCAGGTGTTTATACCAGGCTAACGTGCTTGCTCTTTGGTAGACTCACAAAAGTAGTCAGCACGTTGAATTCCTCAGTGAAGTATATTGTCACGCTTGGATGGGGTTTTTTGTTTCAAATGACAAAGTTTTGGGTTGGAAAGGAGGTGTTTAAATGAGGAGTGCAGAAATTTTCACCGGATCCTAATTAATGTATTCATTAATGATTTGAGGAAGAGAATAATCAGCATGGTAATGAAAACCCCAGTGGGCGAGTTGGAAAAGTTGTAAAAAATAGTGATATGTTTCATAAAGAAGCATTAGAAGGAAGCCAAAACAACAACAAAAAATGGCATTGCTGGAAACAAATCAGCATTATTTCAAGTTACTTGTTTCTTCTTCCCCAGAATTCCTTTATTTTGTTTATCTACCTAATTTCAGTTTCAGTGGTCTGCTCCTTTGCTCTTCTCTGTCTGAAGTGGTTGTTTTGGTAGCTTTGAACCTATCGGCAATTTATTTTTGTTTTTCCTCTAGATGATCCTTTGCTAGGTCACAAACTCAGCCCTCTTAGTTGCGGTGGCTCCCTGGTAGAAGCCGCCAGCTGTGCTTATTCATCAAACAAAAAACTCCTTGCCTGTGTGGATACCCAGGGTCTCC